TATTTTGAGGTAAAGTGTGAGGAAGAGATCCCGCGTGATTTTTTTTTCCCCAGATGGCATCCTGGTTTTTCCAAGGCCATTTGTTGAATAATTGATCTATTCCCCACTGACCTGAAATTCTACTTTCGTCCTGTCTTAAATATCCCATATATATCGGGGCATATTTCTGGCCTCTCTCGTTCATTGCTTCATCAGTCTATTTGGACAAGAACACACTTCTTTAATTATTGCAGCTTTATAATAGAGTTCAATATCTGTGCTAGTCTCCTCTGCTTACCATTCTTTTTCAGAATTTTCTTGGCTATTCTTTTGTGGTCTTTTAAAATGTGCACTTTCAAATCACTTTGTCTAGTTAAAAAATCCTCTGTGTGTGTGTTTTCAAAGTGTTGATTCTGTCCACTGTTCTCCTCCATTTCCGGTTATCCCTTCCCACTGAGAACGTGGCTAGCAGGCCTGCTGTGTACAGTAGTCCAAGTTGTGTACTGCACAGTCCTAGAACTAAGGTTGAGAGGAGCTGCTGGCCCCTGCCAACAGGGTATGAGCTCTTCCCTCCAGGGAATCTGCCCATCTACATATGCGATCAAGAATAAAATAGCTGCCTCTCCTATAGCGTGCGCCAGGCACCTTCCTAAGCACTTTATGTTTTTTAATTTATTTAAGCGTCACAACAAATATATCCCCAATTTACAACTAAGGAAACTGAGGTGCAAAAAGTCGAAGTAACTTGCCCAAGGTCAATGATTTGTGCAGTCATGACACAGAAATCTGTTCCTGCACATAAGCGTGCACACACACACACACACACACACACACACACACACATAGATTCACACTCAGACATACAGATATACATGCCATCAGATATACATGCAGACATACACAGAGACACACACGTGAACACATACCTGCGTACATACACAGATGCACACAGGCACAGACGCTCAAAGACACGCACACACACAGACACAAACGCACACGCTGCTGTTCCCATCAGCATCCTTTTCCCATCAGAGTCTTTCCTTCGATGGCTCACACACTCCCACTCCCCCTGCTTTGGGGCAGGGCCAGTCCATCCAGGAAAACCGCCTGGCTGGACTCCCTGCCCTGGCTCTCAGCTCTGCATAGGGTCTCCCTCCCAAATCCCTGTACCCAGAGAGGAGGGGGCCTTTAGCCTTTCAGGAAAAGGAGGTATGACCGCATAGCAGGGACTTGGGGAGGGGAACCTCGGCTTCTGCCAGACCGCCTTGTTAGGATAACCTGGGATGAGGGATGCAGCTCTGAGCTGGGTACCCAGCAGGTTCTCAGGAAAGGCTAACCGCATCCCTCCCCCCTCCACTTCCCCCAAGTCATTGTCTCCAGCGGCCTCTGGAATCAACTCATCCAAGCAAAAGCCATTCGGTTCCAGACTGGCACCCCACCCCACCCCCGGGAGAGCGTGAGGAATGAACTGGCAAATGCAGACATGGGGGCGCATCGCCCAGGGAGCCGAGTTGCGGAGGCGAGGGTTTGGGTGCAGAGCGCGTGTGCCCGCGCGCGCGCACCGACTGTTCCGGCTCTGAGTCGGCCAGCCTCGAAGGGATTTAATCAGTGGGGGCTGGGAATGTTGTTGTTTTTAAACAAACAGGGGATGACAGGAACTAACAGAGGGTTTTTTTTTCTTTTAACATCTTTATTGGGGTATAATTGCTTTACAATGGTGTGTTAGTTTCTGCTTTATAACGAAGTGAATGAGTTATACATATACACGTGTTCCCATATCTCTTCCCTCTTGCGTCTCCCTCCCTCCCACCCCTCTAGGTGGTCACAAAGCACCGAGCTGATCTCCCTGTGCTATGCGGCTGCTTCCCACTAGCTATCTATTTTACGTTTGGTAGTGTCTATATGTCCATGCCACTCTCTCACTTTGTCCCAGCTTACCCTTCCCCCTTCTTAAAGACTCGATTCAAAGGGCTCTTGAAAGCTGCTGGAGAATGAATGCGCCTTTGAAGTGCGAACGTGTCCGCTTGTTAAACTGAGAGCGAGCCAGCTGCCTCCGAGGGGTGGGGAATCGTTTTCCTTGGCAAATGGGGGCTTGCCTCCCTCTCTGCCCTCCGCCACCTCCAGAGGTGCGCTAGGACCGCAGAGCGAGGGATCCGGCCTGGCGGCCACTCTGCCAAAACGCACTCTGGAAGAAGCGCCTTTTCTTTTCTTCTTTTTTAACATCTTTATTGGCGTATAATTGCTTTACAATGGTGTGTTAGTTTCTGCTTTATAAGAAAGTGAATCAGCTATACATATACACATATCCCCATATCCCCTCCCTCTTGTGTCTCCCTCCCACCCTCCCTATCCCACCCCTCTAGGTGGTCACAAAGCACTGAGCTGATCTCCCTGTGCTATGTGGCTGCTTCCCACTAGCTATCTGTTTTACGTTTGGTAATGTATATATGTCCATGCCACTCTCTCACTTCGTCCCAGCTTACCCTTTCTACTCCCCGTGTCCTCAAGTCCATTCTCTGTGTCTGCGTCTTTATTCCTGTCCTGCCCCTAGGTTCTTCATATCAGTAGGCGCCTTTTCAACCACCTTGAAGGCAGTGTGCTCACATGACGGTCGTTAAGAGTGAGGGAGAGACCTGCGAATAGGTAGCGTCAACTCCGAGATGGGAACGTGCGCGGTCACACAGAGAGACGAGGTGGGGCAGGCTGGTCCAGGGTGCGCCTCTTGCGCGTGTCTGCACCTGCCCTCCAGTGGCCCCCAAGGGGAGGGTCAGTAGCAGGGCTGGGGTTCAAGGAAGACCCAGCCACGCAGTGTCCAGTGGAGACGGAGGGGACGCAGATGCTGTGCCGCCCGCAGGTGGACCTGGGCCCCAGACCTGCGTGACGGCTTGTCTCGAGTTGTCAGTCTGTGTGTAAGCTCAGAGTGAGGCTTTGTCACAGATGCTGAACCTTATCTGAAAACCAAGGGTGTCCAATTCTGGTTAAATCTGAGGGTGAGGCCCCACTGACGCTCCAGAGATTCAACGTGTGACGCAGGAGGGGCCCCGACGCCCCCACCCCTAGTGGGCTGACCAGCCTGCCAGGCCGCGTCTTGATTCACTCCCTGCCACCCTTGAAGTCACCCCCTCCCCGACTCCTGACACGTGCCCCTTCCTCTTCTTTGGTTTGTTCCATATCTTAGGCCAAAAGAATAGTGTCCTATGGTTTTCACCCTCTGGACCCCCAGAGGAAAGTTAGCACTCGGACCAAAGCATATCTGGGGCATCGAGGATGATGGAACACCCAGCCTGGTGGGGACACCCACTCTCTGATGTTGGGAAAGAAGTGAACATTTGCAGAACATTTACTCTGGGCCAAGCACGGACCTGGCATTTTCACGATTCCTATGTTATTGAACCCTTGAGATACAAGGTGGCTGTTTCTCTTCCCGTGTCTCCTGGTGGAGAAACTGAGTCTCGGAAAGATGAATGCTTGTCCACGCCCAGGCAGCTGGGAGTCGCAGGCTGAGCACAGACGGGAACGTGGTGCCAGGACCCCTCCCCCACCACGGGGCCCCCACCCGGTCGGGCCGCCCGGTGCCTGGCTGGCCAACAGCTTCCCGGCTTTGAGCACTGCCTGCCCCTCGGGGCGCAGTGTGATGGGTGGAAGGTGCTTGCACTGCGTCTGGCAAGTCTGGACCTGACTCCCCTTTAGCGGCACGTGGCCGTGGGGTCGCCGAGCCGTATCCCTTACCACAACGGGAGCGCTGCTGTGAGCGCCAGGTGATACGTGGGTGAGCCGGTGAATGGTGCTTTCTGGAGCTCGCTCCCTCCATCTGTCAGATGCAAGGGCTCGGCGGGCGGCGGCACGAACTCTGGGAGTCTCGCCTTAAGCCCATCTTCTCCTCCATCCACGTTCCACCTTCATCAAGGCAGGTGCGGGACTCTAGGTGCTCAGCCTGCAGGGCTGGCTCCTCCCCTTGCAGCTGTGTTGCCCTGGGCGGGTTTCTAACCGCTTTTCTAAAAGGGGATTATGATCGTGTCTGGTTGTGGGCTTGCATGTAGATTAAATGAGCATATGTTAAAGCCCCAGGAACAGCCCAGAACCTAGCAGGTGCTTCAGTCCTTGTGTTGTCTCCAGATCCTGGCTCCTCCCCCAGCCCAGCCCAGCCCCTAAAGGGCAGGTCTGCTCAATGATGGGCTTGGAGGCCCTCTCCCCGTTCCCCCCTCTCTCCCTGTCCTTTTGTCAACCCCCTTGTCTGTTTCACTTCTGCCCTTTTTCCCACTGGCCAGAGAGCAGAAGGCCTCTATTTCCACCCAAAGCTGTTGGTCTGAGTGGTCCCCTTAAGTCCGGGATCCGGAGTGCGTTGTCTCCGTCGAGGGCAGCCGCGGCGGGGGGGGGGGGGGGGGGGGGGGGGGGGGGGGCTCCTGCTTGGCCGGACTGAGTCAGGTCACAGGGTTAGGGTAGGGAGCATAGCAAGCGCTGGACCCACACCCATGGCCCAGCAGTGCCATTTCCTCTGCCCCGACGGCGGCCTGGTGTGCGAACGGGGAGGCCGAGGCAGGCTGGCCCAGGACCCGGGAGGGGGCCGACCGGAGGGACTCTGCCCTTGATGCCTTTGCAGGGTTTCCTCCAGCCTTGGGAAGCAGGATTCAGGGCAGCCCCATCACCCGCCACTTCTGTCAGCGCAGGTGTCCCTGTTTCCCTTTCCCTTTGGCTGAAGTGCTGTAAGCGCCGTCGACCCCCCCTTCTGCTCTGGAAGGAGAAACCAAAGCAAAGGGTATGGACTGGATGGGATCCCGAGGGGAGAGAGATGGAAGGTACTGGAGCGGAGGGGTGGCAGCAGTGGCGGTGAGCTGGTGGGGTCTGGGAGGAGGGTGGCGGGGAGAACTCACTCTGAAGACAAGTCCTGCCCAGGCACGTGACCTTGGCAGGTTACCCGCTGCACCTGCCCCGTCTGCCTCGGGGCCTCAGGGCTCCAGCTGGGCAGCCGCAGGCAGGTGAGCCGGTGATAACCAGCAACGTTGTGTCTCTGTTCCCCGCAGATGACGTGGCCCCCTACTTCAAGACGGAGCCGGTGCGAACACAGGTGCACCTGGAGGGGAATCGCCTGGTACTCACGTGCATGGCCGAGGGCAGCTGGCCACTGGAGTTCAAGTGGCTACACAACGACAGGGAGCTGACCAAGTTCTCTCTGGAGTACAGGCAAGCGTGCCGCCCCTTTCTTCCCACCCAGCCGCCAGGGTCCTGCTGTGTCCTGAGGGGGTACCAGGGCACTGGGCAGGGGCGCCGTATGGCAGTTTTGGTGGGGGAGCCCCTGCTCCAGTGTTGCTGGGAGGCTGGGGTGACAGAAGTAGGGGGCCAAGGCCGCCCTTGCCCAGGGTGAGAAGACGCTGCCCCGCTGCCCCCGGCAGAAGATGGCTGGGTGGCCAGGCAACCGTGGACGGGGCAGAGGTGATGACTGAGGTAGGGGAGCCCGCTGCCAGCAGCTAGACTGTGGCCACGGCTGTGACCAGATCCCCACCTCCCCTCCCCACCGAGAAGAGCCCTGCTCTCTCGGGGAAGCTATTGGAGGGGCCTGGGTCCAGCAGAGGGGTAGGGCATGCAGCTACCTGGGGTCTGTAAGGGGCAGACAGATTCTATTTGGGAGGGCAATTCGGGGGGGACATGGAGGTGGGACCTCCCCCCCAGGGCCTTTGCGCTTATCTCCACTCCCTGCTGTGCCCTTGCACTGGACTCTGGGTTGGGCTGCCCTTCCTTCCCCAGGACACTGCCAAATGGGGATAAGGGAGAACAGAGAGAGAGAGAGAGAGAGAGAAACAGGGTCTCAGTGAGAGCAAGTTTGCTACCAGAAGAGTGAGCAGTGGGGCAGCTACTCCCCAAGCCGGGTAGCCTCCAGCCTTTCTCCCGGCTCTCCTTACCCCTGCTTCTGTCCTCCTATCTCGGCCTTTTTTATTGGCTCCTGACCCTGTGCCTGGCGATTAATCCCCAGGCCTGATGTGCATAATTGGTTTTGTTGGGGAAACAAGATTGTCTTGCCCTGGGGATGTTGATACAAATCTGCCACCAGGGACAGGAATGCAAACGAGAGGAGGGGGATTTAATTGCTTGAGAATCGGTCCTTTCCAGAAAACCATCCTTTTCTTCATGAAGCAGGGAGGCCAGAGTTTGGGGTGACCCCCATGCCCAGGTTCCTTCTGCCCCAGCCCTGGCCTGGATGGGATGGTGATGAGAGCCGAAAATTCGGCCTCTGTGCACCAGTGCCAAATCTCAGACACAGAGTTTGGGGTGAAGTAGAAAAGAATAGCTTAATTGCTTTGCCAGGCAAAGGGGGACACAGTGGGCTCATGCCCTCAAAAACTGTGTCCCAACCTGTGATGATTTGGTGAGGAGTTTTATAGCAATAGTTCAAGGGTGGGATTACTGATAAGATTAGGGTGTATGCAGGGCCTGCACTCCTTTAATCTGGCCTCAGGTGGTCTCTTTTTTTTTTTTCATAAATTTATTTATTATTTATTTTTGGCTGCGTTGGGTCTTTGTTGCTGCGTGCGGCTTTGTCTAGTTGCGGCGAGCGGGGGGCTACTCTTCATTGCGGTGCGCGGGTTTCTCACTGCGGTGGCTTCTCTTGTTGCGGAGCTCGGGCTGTAGGCGTGAGGGCTTCAGTAGTTGTGGCACGCGGGCTCAGTAGTTGTGGCGCACGGGCTTAGTTGCTCCGTGGCGTGTGGGATCTTCCTGGACCAGGGCTCGAACCCGTGTCCCCTGCATTGGCAGGCGGATTCTTAACCACTGTGCCACCAGGGAGGCTCCTCAGGTGGCCTCTTGATGAGCTTCTGTGGTTCTTGAGGTTATCAAACTGTGACCTTCCCTCTGGAATGAAGAACGCTTCATTAGTTCATCTTCCATTTGTTGGGGGTTTTAGTTCTGTAACGAGCTCAAAGATACTGTTGTGTGTGTCCCTTGAGGAGGGACCAGGACCTGCCCCAAGGCTGCACTGTTGTTTCTTGACTGCTCCTCCCTTGTCTCTGCATCCCCTCCCTTCCCTGATTAGCAGCTGTTCTGATCTGCCCTTTGGGACTCAGGGAAGGTCATGGAGGCTGAAGGCTATTCCCTACATACAAGAAATGGGGGACACAGAAAGACTTTGGTGCCTAGGAGCCCCACGAGGTTCTGCTTGGTTTCAGTGGGCGTGGCCAGTTTGGCAAAGGAGGGGCCAGGAGAGGCCGGGGCAGGACGACCACCCTCCCCTCTGTGGCTGGTGAGAGATCCGGACCAGGATGCAGGAGGCCCTCCAGGGCTGGCCACTCTGGGCCTCGGTTCTCCAGGGAGCCTCCCAGGGTGGTCCCCGTGATGGTTTTCAGCTGGGGCCCAGAGCCATTCAAAACTGGCACCCTGGGCAGTTTTGACCGTGCCCATGAAAAGCCCCTGCAGCCGCTTAGATACTGAACATGCCTGAATGGGCACCCCAGGAGCACGCTGATGGCATGCCACGCTCTTAATGGTGCCCTTGCCCTCGTCTTGAGCTGGAGGCAGGACCCAGGAGGAGCAGGAGAGTTGGTTCTTGATCTGTTTCACAGCCATTCTTTTGGTGCCTGAAGCTGCAGGGACGAGGGGTGGGCTTTACACAGAAGCAGATCCTGGCTCAGCCTCCGGTTCAGACTTGCCCAGCGATGGAATGGGCTTCCTCGGGACACAGTCAGCAACCTGTCCCTGGAGGCATCCAAACGGTTGTCAGGGTGCAGCTGTTGATGATGGTAATGATGATAACAGTCATCGGCAATGAAAAAGAATGTATTACCTGGCAGACGGCGTGATGGGCGCTCTGAGAGCGTCTTGTTTAATCCTGCCAGCAATCCCACGGGTAGGTTCCAGTGTTTTCTCCATTCTACAGACGAGCAAACTGAGGTTTAGGGAGATGAAACAGTCCACCCAAGGTCAAGTTGTTGAGTTGGGCTTCACATATAAGTCACATAACTACAGGACTAGAATTCTTTACCATCCCCCACACGGCCTCCCGTTGAAGAAAGACTGAAGCCATTGCCTCCTCCGTGTGTATCCTAAGCATCTTTCTGCTAACTGTGCTCTGCACGTTCTAGAAAACAAAGCTCCATTTCAGAGCTTAGTTGGGTGGAAGTTATTCAGGGAGACGTAAATGGACGTCCATTCGGGAAACTCATCCTCCTGCCTCCTCATCCCCAGGAAGGCTGACTGTTACAGCAGGGGATTCTTTTCTTTTCTTTCTTTCTTTCATTTATTTTTGGCTGTGTTGGGTCTTTATTGCTGTGCGTGGGCTTTCTCTAGTTGCGGTGAGCAGGGGCTACTCTTCGTGGCAGCATGTGCCTGCCGTGTGCCCGAGGACAAGTCAATCAGGATTTTCCTCTAATCAAAAATATGCTGTGGGCTTCCCTGGTGGCGCATCCGCCTGCCAGTGCAGGAGACACGGGTTCGAGCCCTGGTCCGGGAAGATCCCCCATGCCGCGGAGCAACTAAGCCCGTGCGCCGCAGCTACTGAGCCTGTGCTCTAGAGCCTGCGGGCCACAACTACTGAGCCCACGTGCCACAACTACTGAAGCCCACGCGCCTAGAGCCCGTGCTCCACAACAAAGAGAAGCCACCGCAATGAGAAGCCCGCACACCACAACAAAGACCCAACACAGCCAAAAATAAATAAATTAAATTAACTTTTTTAAAAAACGAGCTGTGCTCACAGGGAAAGATCTACACTCCTCAGTGTGGCCTTCAGAACTCTTCATGTTCTGCTCCTGACAGCACCTGCTTTAGCTCTTGCTGTTCCCATCTGAGGTAACACATTCCCACCAAACAGGACCCTCACACCACAGGTCCCAGGACAGTTCCTTCCACATGCCCTTTTTTCTGCCTTTGTCCAAACTGTCCTGTCCCCTCCACTTGGAATATTGCCCCTTTCAGAACCTTCTGTCTCTCTCCTGCAGGGTTCCAGCTCTTTTGGAAAGCCTTTCCTGATAGTACACATATGTGTTCTCAATAAATCTCTCTCCCTCTCTCTCTCAAACACACACACACTCGTTTCTGCCTCTCTCTGCCCTTTGTGACTGTCCATAATACATCCTATTATACTCTGCCTTCTAATTATTTACATGAGAGCCTGCAAATAAACCACAGAATGAAGTGAGAGCCTCAGGCACCTTGGAGGTTCCAGGGATCTCAGGTTCCTGGAGGTTCCAGGAATCTCAGAACCAAGAACTTGATACTGCCAGGCCCTCTCCCCTCTGGGCTGCTCAGCTGTGCCCACCTCTGGGTTCAGACTTCATTCTCATGCAGTGAGTGACACTGAGAAGTTTGGGAATCACAGGCTCACAGCCACATGATTTCAGAGTAGAAGGAATTTCGCCATAGGAGTTCCATGTAGAAAGTCCCAGGGAAGGATTCTGATTGGTCCAGCTTGGATCTGCCCTGACCAATCCCAATGGGAAGCAGCATGGAGTGCTGTGATTGGCCAGGCCTGCATCATGTGTCTACTCCGAGCCATAGGACATTGCGCAGCAGCTCCCACACTAGAGCCACGTGGTGGAAAGGAGGGTGAGAGCTCTTAGCAGAAGAAGGGAAAAGGGTGGTGGGGCAGACAGTAGCCCCCTGTGTCCACTTTACCACCCCTGCCTCCTGTGAGGGCCTGGCTCATAGCAGGTGTTTTTCCTTCCTTCCTTTCTTTTTTTTTAATTTTGAAAATTTTCAAATCTTGGAAGAATTATAAGATAGTACCGTAAACACCTGTATACCTTTTTACCATTCCCCAGTTGTTAATATTTTGTATCATTTGTACTCTCTCTTGCTCATTCTATGCACACGTAGATGCGTGCATCTTTTTTTCTGAATTATTTAAGAGTTAGTTGCAGACATCACGTCACTTCACCCCTAAGCAGAATTTCCTAAAAGCAAGGCATTTTCCTACAGAACTACCACACAATTTTCACACTCAGGAAATTGCACATTGATAAAATACTGCTGTCTGACACACAGTCCACATTGAAATTTCTCCATGTGTCCCAATTATATCCTTTGTGGACACTTTTATTGTTGCTGTTCAGTACAGGATCTGATCAAGGACCACACATTGGATTCAGTTGTCATGACTCTTTAGACTCCTTAAATCTAGAACTGTTGCTCGTTTTTCTTTCCTATCTTTCACGGCATTGCCATTGTTGAGAGTTCAGCCAGTTTTGCAAGATGTC